TTTAAAACAAAGTCCTGGGTTTGTAGTCCTTCGAGAGGATGTAGAAGGGCATCTAGAAGGTTATTTCAATCGTATACGTGATTCATTAAATGATAACAAAGGCCTTGTATAAAAAATTTCAGAACTAAATTTTTTCGAAATTCAAGTGATTACAAATTATAGCCTATTTTGCGATATCTTTATTATTCAAGGAGATATGGGCGTTTGAAGTTTTAGCTGTTTTTTAAAACAAAAATTTTGACTTTAAAACGAAGTCCTGGGTTTTTAGTTCTTCGAGAGGATGTAAAGGAGCATCCAGGAGGTTATTTTAGCCATATGTGTGATTTATTAATCGATAACAAAGGCCTTGTATGAAAAATTTTATAACTAAATTTTTTCGAAATTCAAGTGATTCCAAATTATAGCCTATTTCTCGATATCTCTATTATTAAGAGAGATATGAGCGTTTTAAGTTTCGCTGTTTTTTAAAATAATAATTTTAACCTTTAAACAAAGTCCTGGGTTTTTAGTCCTTCAAGAGGATGTAGAGGAGCATCTAGGAGGTTATTCTATCCGTTTGTGTGATTTATTAATCGATAACGAAGGCCTTGTACAAAAAATTTCAGAACTAAATTTTTTCGAAATTCAAGTGATTCCAAATTATAGCCTATTTCTCGATATCTCTATTATTAAGAGAGATATGAGCGTTTTAAGTTTTGCTGTTTTTTAAAATAAAAATTTTAACTTTAAAACAAAGTCCTGGGTTTTTAGTCCTTCAAGAGGATGTAGAGGAGCATCCAGGAGGTTATTTAAGTCGTATATGTGATTTATTAAACGATAACAAAGGCCTTGTATCAAAAATTTCAAAACTAGATTTTTTCGAAATTCAAGTGATTCCAAATTATAGCGATATATATTATAATATTTCGCGATATCTTGATTATTTAAGGAGATATGGTTGTTGAAAGTTTTGGCTGTTTTTAAAAATAAAAAATTCGACTTCAGAACGGAGTCCTGGGTTTGTAGTCCTCCAAGTGGATGTAAAAGAGCATCTAGAAGGTTATTTAAGCTGTATATGTAATTCATTAATCGATAACAAACGCCTTGTATAAAAAATTTCAGAACTAAATTTTTTTTAAATTCAAGTGATTCCAAATTATAGCCTATTTCGCGATATCTTCATTATTCAAAGAGATATGGGCGTTTTAAGTTTTAGCTGTTTTCTAAAATGAAAATTTTGACTTTAGAACATAGTCCTTGCAATTGTAATCCTTCGAGAAGATGAAGAAGAGCATCCAGAATGTTAGTTTAGTCGTATATGTGATTGATTAATCGATAACGAAGGCCTTGTATAAAAAATTTCAGAACTAAATTTTTTCGAAATTCAAGTGATTCCAAATTATAGCCTATTTCGCGATATCTTCATTATTTAAGGAGATATTGGCGTTTTAAGTTTTGGCTGTTTTTAAAAATAAAAAATTCGACTTTAGAACATAGTCCTTGCAATTGTAATCCTTCGAGAAGATGAAGAAGAGCATCCAGAATGTTAGTTTAGTCGTATATGTGATTGATTAATCGATAACGAAGGCCTTGTATAAAAAATTTCAGAACTAAATTTTTTCGTAATTCAAGTGATTCCAAATTATAGCCTATTTTGCGATATCTTTATTATTCAGGGAAATATGGGCGTTTTAAGTTTTAGCTGTTTTTTAAAATAAAAATTTTGACTTTAGAACATAGTCCTTGCAATTGTAATCCTTCGAGAAGATAAAGAAGAGCATCCAGAATGTTAGTTTAGTCGTATATGTGATTTATTAATCGATAACGAAGGCCTTGTATAAAAAATTTCAGAACTAAATTTTTTCGAAATTCAAGTGATTCCAAATTATAGCCTATTTCGCGATATCTTCATTATTTAAGGAGATATTGGCGTTTAAAGTTTTGGCTGTTTTTAAAAATAAAAAATTCGACTTTAGAACGGAGTCCTGGGTTTGTAGTCCTCCAAGTGGATGTAAAAGAGCATCTAGAAGGTTATTTAAGCTGTATATGTAATTCATTAATCGATAACAAACGCCTTGTATAAAAAATTTCAAAACTAAATTTTTTTTAAATTCAAGTGATTCCAAATTATAGCCTATTTCGCGATATCTTCATTATTCAAGGAGATATGGGCGTTTTAAGTTTTAGCTGTTTTTCAAAATAAAAATTTTGACTTTAGAACATAGCCCTTGCGATTGTAATCCTTCGAGAAGATAAAGAAGAGCATCCAGAATGTTAGTTCAGTCGTACATGTGATTTATTAATCGATAACGAAGGCCTTGTATAAAAAATTTCAGAACTAAATTCTTTCGAAATTCAAGTGATTCCAAATTATAGCCTATTTCTCGATATCTTTATTATTAAGAGAGATATGAGCGTTTTAAGTTTCGCTGTTTTTTAAAATAATAATTTTAACTTTAAAACAAAGTCCTGGGTTTTTAGTCCTTTAAGAGGATGTAGAGGAGCATCCAGGAGGTTATTTTAGCCGTATTTGTGATTTATTAATCGGTGACAAAGGCCTTGTATCAAAAATTTCAAAACTAAATTTTTTCGAAATTCAAGTGATTCTAAATTATAGCCTTCTTTGCGATATCTTTATTATTTAAGGAGATATGGGCGTTTGATGTTTTGGCTGTTTTTTAAAATAAAAAATTTGATTTTAGAACATAGTCTTGGGATTGTAGTCCTTCGAGAGGATGTAGAAGAGCATCCAGGAGGTCATTTTAGTAGTATATGTGATTTATTAATCGATAACAAAGGCCTTGTATCAAAAAAATTCAAAACTAGATTTTTTCGAAATTTAAGTGATTCCAAATTATAGCCTATTTGTCGATATTTTTATTATTTAGGGAGATATGAGCACTTTAAGTTTTGGCTGTTTTTTTAAAATAAAAATTCTGACATTAGAACAAAGTCGTGGGATTGTATTTCTTCGAGAGGATGTAGAAGTGCATCCAGGAGGTTATTTTAGTCGCGTATGTGATTTATTATCCGATGATAAAGGCCCTGTATGAAAAATTTCAGAACTAAATTTTTTCGAAATTTAAGTGATTCCAATTTATAGCCTATTTTGCGATATCTTCATTATTTAAGGAGATATGGGCGTCTTAAGTTTTGGCTATTTTTTAAAATAAAAAATTTTGACTTTAGAACAGAGTCCTGGGTTTGTAGTCCTTCAAAAGGATGTAGAAGAGCATTTCGAAGATTATTTTAGCTGTTTACGTGATTTATTAATTGATAACAATGGTTTAGTATGAAAAATTTTAATAAACTAATTCTTGTTGAATTTTAAGTGATTCCAAATTTTAGCCTATTAGGCGATATTTCTATATTATTGAAAGAGATATGGGCGTTTGAAGGTCTGGCTATTTATTACGCTGAAAATTTTTATTTTTTGAGCTGAAGTTCAGAGTAAAGACATCGCTTTGTAAGTGTTACAATTTTGCGTCTTAGATAAGGTTTGAATTAGATTTTTGTGTTGGAGTTTAATTCTGATATGAGGTAAGAAGTTTCGTCGCATTTTGCGCCATCTTACATGTTTTTCATACACTTTTGAAATTCGTCGGTTGACCTATTGTACTCTTGTACTTTTCTTTTTAGTCTACTTCATGCCACGTAGTTACCCAGAATTTAAGTCAAGATTCGCTTTGTACTAAACCTGAAAGCTTTATCCTCTGACGCTTCTTTCCGTCAGTTCGATAGGGATGATATATTGTATTTTGCTTGTGCTGGACTGTTGGCTCAATATTTCGTTCACACCTTCGTGGCTGGGCCTCCTTGATTTTGAGCCTCGCTTGTTAAAGTACGATCGCGGAAATGATTCAGCTTGTCCCATGCGCTAATCACCTGCGATCTAACCCCTTTTTTTCTTTGCGCACCTTTCTACATGGACCGCGTAAACTGAGCCCGACACTTCGGGTGACACCTGATTCGATTACCAAATTTACTCTCTCCGGTGTACAAGCCTCTCGCTCGACTGGCAAACATGGGTGGAGTGCGTAGTACGTTCTCGAGTGTAATCGCAGCGAGGCTATGACCCATTGATTTTATTCCAGCCTAACGTGAAAATAAAAGGGAGGTTATCCAATTATCTTTTACTTATTTTGTGAGGTCTTCAATTTTTCAGGCAATGAGTAATTGAACTGCACGTTTATCTGCAATCGTTCAATGATGCGACTGACCATGTGAGATTCATTTCCTTGTGCACGTACGCAAGTTAGGGTTTCTTGTGCACCTAGGTAAGTCCAATGTTACCGTAATGTTTCGCCGTAAATCTTTAGTCGACATCCGTAGTGTGGATGAGCACGTAGTATTGCTCAGAATAAGCATCCCTTCCCTTCCTCGCGCAACAAAAAAGTTACGCCAAAGTGGCTCGCAGTAGTGTGGGTCCGCGTTGCGTCAGAAGTGCCCAGTAGAGCTGAAATAAAAAAAACTCGCTCAAGATCCTAGCTAGTGCAGTGAAGAATGGAAAGAAAGAGCGAGCAAAACTTTGCCCGTGCGTAATGCAAAGCGATCCTCCTGGCGATACATCAGCGACGAGGCCAGTAGGTGTAGCGTGTGTATACGTGTGCAGTCGAAGCATTGAAAAATGAGAATAAGCCACTCGGTTGGATGGTTCAGGTCATTTTATTGATTGTGTGCCCAGAGGTGTCCGTCTCCTTAACATTTTTTTTTTTTTTTTTCGTTTCCATGCGTGAACGAAGCAATTGGCTCGCTCACTTCTGAATAGTTGGGGATCAAGTTTATCTGTATTAAAAAAATAACACTTTTCACAAATCATTTCATAGAAATATTACATTCCACTCTTTTTCAAACGTATATAATATATGTAGATGTAGCTGTATATGAGATTGAAACCCAATCGAGAATTGGTAGAGATCACCAATAGAACGACCCCTTATAATGAGGAAATGAATGGAGGAATTCATTGTACAATACATGTATGTATAAATGTGTGACTGTCTCTGTCTGTGCATGTGCAGCTGGTGCGAGGAGCAGCAGTGGCAAGAATTACCCGGTGATCGTCTTCCTGCACGGCGAGAGCTACGAGTGGAATAGCGGAAATCCGTACGACGGCAGCGTACTGGCGAGCTACGGTGGACTCGTCGTCGTAACCGTCAACTACAGGCTCGGCATTTTAGGTAAGCCATTGCCTATTATTGTACATACCACTACAGTCGCAAAGATAATACACACCGCTGCGCTTATTCGTGAATAGTATTTTGGAACGGTAATACCAAGAGGCTGATTTTTCTGTGGGAAAAAGAAAACGTCGTCAACACGTGAATGGAGTTAAAAAAATTCCCTTAACATCGATATTCGCGCGATCTGCTTCGAAACACCAAAGCAAACGGCAGCGTCAAAGGGCATTTGCTCTTCATTGAATATGCATATTTTCAAGGGGAGCCATTCAATCGGCGTTCAACGGGTTGTTAACGTGCTCATTACCGACGAGAAACGTCATCCGAATCCTCTCAGCGCCATTCGACGCGTTCGATGAAATCTGAATATAAAAAACGAAAAGTTCGACCGAGACGACGAATTATTTCACCCGACAAAACTACGTTTCCATACTCGCGTGGGATTTCAAAGCGTAAAATCCGTGCAAATTTTTCGTTCAAATTCACCAGCACGTTTCCTCTATCCGAAGCCAAGTCTCTTTCGGGTAGGTAAAAGCCTCTCGGCGATCGTCATCGAAGAATTTCGGCGACGAGGTTCTCGAGAGCGAGCGTGGAGTGCCTTTATCACCATTCCGTTCACGCCCGTACCTTTTGTACGCTCCAAGGAGCCGAGAAGGAGCGGCTCGTTTACAGGCGAATGGGAGCACCACCAACGCCCGATTAGATTAGATTAGGCGACCGAAGGGTAACCGTTGTATTTACGGGCACCTCGTCGTTTGCTTCGATGGTTATGTCGCCGTCTAGCGCCCGTGGCTTGTCTCGGATTTCGGATGCAGCTGTAGCTGCTTGTACCCACGACTGGGCACTGAACGGAGGACTTTACCTAACTCGCCGCTCCAAGCTTTTTCAAGGGTTCCCAGGAAACTTTTTGGTATTTTCAAAACCATCGGGATCTGGAGATAATACGTTGAAGCTATTACATATCATCGAAAAGCCGTGCGCGTTTTTTCCCTTGAAATTTGAAAAAAAAAAAACTCTAACTATGGGGGAAGGGAATAAATATCCCCTTCGATATTCGCGCTGAAAATTTCCACCTCGAAATTTTGCATTTATACGACTTTGAGGCGAATTCCCGTCGTGCCTTTCTTATATTGACATCGCAGTCTCTTTTCACCTCGAATAAGTAGCCTCGTGGAGACACGCGACACCGAGAGTAGGCTTTTGTATCTACAATCGGACCTGAAATCTCGCACTCGCGCCATCCTCCTCCGAAAAGGAAGCTACTTTCTTCCCGAGGATTCGAGATTTACCCAATACCCATTGTACTCTTCCTCCCCGAGCAAACAAGGTTTTCCCTCAACCCCCGCGAGCTTAAAATACACGATCGGCCCTGCCACTCTGTTTACTCCATTCGCTCCCGTTGGATCCAATGGTGCACTATACTCTTTGGAAAATTCGTTGACAATTTCCGTGCAACCCTGTTTGCCCAAGTTACCCACACATCCAGCTAAAGTCACCAAAGATAAAAAAAAAAAAAAAAGGACACAGGTTTACTTCGATGCTATGGTATATTGTACAATCTTAGGCCCAGCATTTACGGCCCCCACGGGGGTTCCAACTTTATTGCCAGTCGTCAAAGCGCCCGATACACAGCTTCGTAAAGTAGAGACGCGGCATTCAGATACGGGCAACGCCACGGGTAGAGCAAACCACAGGGCGTCCGAGAACTCGGTCGGTGGGGCGATACATCGAGCAGGAGACAAAGGGAAGACAGCGCCATGTAGAATATATTCGGATAGAGTGTCACGGAGCGTGGTATATATAGGTAAAAGAGCGGGGGAGAGGGGGGAATCTCGTTACTTTATGCATCAGAGCGGCGCATCGGCTGTAGGAAGAGTACGATGACTAAAACGTGAAATAACTGCGAAAGAGTGGAGGGGGCCGAGATAAGGAGATGTCTCCACGAGAGGAGGCAAGGAGAGATGGAGGAAGATAAAGAGAGAGAGAGAGAGACGGGTTGACTCGAAGGGATCGAAAGCTATACGCGGGTCGTCATGGCGACGGGGGTAGCCAAATCTAATAGGAAACTCATTACTGTCCGGGCTTTCCGTTTCAGCAAACTAAATTCTTCACCGCTCGCTCTGTACTTTACATTGCCCCTCTCTGCGACTTTTACATAGGGGAAAAATCAGATAGCACCGATGGCAAAATTTTCTTTGCTAATGGCTGCTTATCATTGGTAATTTCGTTGCTTCTCACTCAACCACGAGCTCTTTCTTTTTTCCGATAGACGTGGAGTATCGCGCGTCATATATCAGACACTGCTCGCGCTCTCCCAATGCGTATCGATCAATCAACCTCTCCTCCAGCCCCTCATCTATCTATCCATCTGTAGGTGTATCCTATGGGTACTTGCACCTCTCCTTCGCCGTGGCCTGCTATCGCTACTGTTCAAGGTATGCTCGTTTGTTTCGTTAACGATTAATACGCACGCTCGACTGCTACGGTACTCTATATTGGTATCGCGTTTCTATTGATATTCCACAGAAAAATTATCATACGATTGTTCGCTACATGTATTTTGATGAAGAAGGTAATTGCTATTTCTCTCCAACATTCCATGAGATAAAATCGTTCTTACGTGTATCACTTGGCTCGCCGTAAAAAATAAAAATGGCCCCACCCACTCGCGACGAGCGTCGTAACAAAAACCGTCTAGCTCAACGGTTACCGAGGCCCGTTGCTCGTTCCCAAGTAAACTTGGCAGTACAGCGTGAAACACGGCTAAACAGGACAGTCGACAAACAAACGATGCGGTGGTGCGGAAAAAAAAGTGGGGACAGTAGAGGGTAAAGTAATAAACGAGTGCGGCAATTGTGTCGAAACAAGTAATGGCCGGGGATGTGTTTCAGTGAATCCCACCACTGGGCCGAGTTTGAATCAATGGACAGTAGTCATCGCTGGGCTGGAAAAACGCGAGGGCCACGCGGAAGCGCGCAAATTCCGCGCGTCGGAAGGTGTTTTTCAGGCGCGTGGGCGCATCCGTCGAAGCTCGCAGTCCCCGCGCTCCTTTCACCCGACGCGGAAGGGGAGCGCGAAAAAACGTAACAACGAACTTTGCGGTGGGCTCGGCAATTTTTTACTCGGACCCCGGGCTAACCGCTGAATTACGACCTCACCCTCCCCCCCTACGTCCCTCGAGGGGCCGAGCGACTTTTTTTTATCCCTTTTCGCGCTTTTTTTTATCTTGATTTTTTCTTTTGGCTCGAGTCGTCGGAGCGCACTGGGACGTGCAGGGGATTTGGTTGAAAAATTTCAATATTCAACTCTGCAGGTTGACGGGAGAGTGCGCGCTTGTCTGGCCTGATGTTTGCCGTGTGTGGTGCGTTAACTCTTTGCTTTCGCGAGTATTTACCTTTCAACTCGAAAATCACGCCAACTGGTGCAACCAACGCGTTTGAACTTTTGTTTTTTTTTTTTTTTTTCGCCTTTGCGGTGCATTTTTATTCCGTACCCTTGATAAATACAATAATTTCCATCAGCAAGTTAACATTTTTTTCGAAACGCAATTCGTATAATACTGCAGACATTGTTATTTGGATTTTCAACGGCATCATCAGAGGCCTTCTATAAATACATACGAAATTTACACAATTCAGGACATTAATAATCAGTTGTATGATAAACAACTTTATTTTTCATCGCACCCTCGCAGTATTTGTTCAATAATAACTATTTTTTTCGATTCAGTAGTACGAGTCAATATCAGGTCAGACTTTTAAATTTTATTCAAATCCTAATCATTTATCTACTTTGTTGGTTCTTTTCACATCATGGCTTTTCACCACTGTAGGCTATCTCAATTAGTACATGTCTTTACATGCAGGCCCCCAAGATATAGTGAATGCAATATAAATCACAATTTTGTCCATCGTAATTTTTTTTTTTTTTTATTTTTCAAAAATGTGAAAAAAAAAACTTGAGAATTCTTAAGACGAGGAGCAAATTTTGCTTTGTTCAACAAGCTCCGTTTTATTGCTAATTTTTTCAGCAGCTCTACACCAGAGTGCAAACGGTATATTGTACCTGTAATGAGTAGTATGGGACGTCCATAGCGATCCCATTGTACGTTCCCAGCGGTGCAAAAAATCTCGACTCTTTTGAATGCTTCACTTCTTTTCTCGTCCTTCCCCTCTCTCTCTCTCTCAGCCGTACTTTACGCCCTAACGACTTTTTCCTCGAATCCCCCCATTCACGTTTTTCTCCCCTGGCCCTTTTCATTCAGGCATTTCAAGGTACCTACTCGAGAAAAAGCGAGCCCTTTGTCTTTCATGTAAAATCAAGAATGTACATTTTTTCGCAATTACATCGTATATACATAAATATGTATGCATGTATATTGCACGAAAATTGCCATTATATTAATTTATTAAAGAGGAATCTTCAATTTCAAACTCAACGATGACTGTTATTCGGCTATTTGAGTCAAATAACATTGAAACTGAATTTTAAAACGAAATTAAATATGTCAAGAGGGGGTATTTCATCAAACTGCAACGAAGCCAGCAGCTATAGTTACAATACTTCTACGTACAAATTCAGCTACGCTTGATAATCACATTCGTGAACCATAAATTCCAAATGCTGCTGTATTCGAATTTGAAAAAAAAAAAAAAAAAAAAAAAAAAAAAAAAACAATCGAGGGGAATGAGTTGCCGCAAAATAATAAAAATAATTAATTCGAACGACGACGAAACGAAACGAAGAGAAAAACGCCAGACAAGAGTAATACACAAAAGAAGATTGCGTCGCCCAGAATGAACGTGCATTGTGCATTTGCGCGGAAAACAAAGGGAGGAAGAAAAAAAGAAGAATAATCCGGAGGCAACCCATTCATCTGCGCCAAATATTTTTCAATTAAGAAAAACCATCGAAGCGCCCGATAAACCAAGAGAGAACACGCCAAAGCTTTACCACTCGCGCTCGCGATACCGAGGGAACGAGAAAGATGCACCGGGGGAAAAAAAAAAGTTCATAAACCGAAAGCTCTTCTCCGTATACGCGCACATCGTTCGACCCCCTCCCCCCTGCAGTCCGGCTTCTGTTTTTCATCCGCATGTAAGGATAACAGCGCCGAAAGCCCGAGCCAATATCCCGTAAAATCAAGAATTATTCAGAACCCCATCCGAGTCCGACGGCAATTATTTATACCCCCCCTAGATTCGAATACATAAATCGCCGGTGCTTCCAGTGGGTCAAAATCTATGGTATCGCCATCGCCACGAAAAAGAATAAAGCTATGCACGACGCCACCGCTGTAACAAAGGAATTTGGCGCAGAAAACAATGCACCGCGATAAGACTCTATATTTATACCCGCGTGAGCATTTTACGGAGAGTTGGACAAGAAAAAAATCTATGATAGGTAGACACCGCTGATAAATACAACCGACTCGTGTGGCTCGTGGATGATGATCAAGTGCGCGTGTAGAGCCTCAGTGGCTTTGCTCCGAGGCGCGTCGGAAAACGTGGCCAATTAGGTTGCACCCTAGGTTTATATCCTCACGCGCGTTGGCACGAGCGTAATCGGCTGCGTCGCCGGGGTTTTTGCTTACAGGCTTCCTGAACGTCAACACGGACTCGCACTTACGCTCGCCGGCGAACTACGGCCTCATGGACCAGATAGCCGCGCTGCACTGGGTTCAGGAGAACATAGCCTACTTTGGTGGGGATCCGAGGAACGTGACCCTCGCGGGCCACGGCACTGGCGCCGCCTGCGTCAATTTCCTCATGACCAGCCGAGCCGTGCCCGACGGTGAGTACACGATTATCTTGCCGATCTCACATTTTTTTTTTTTTTTTTTTTTCACGGAATTCGTGACAATTTAAATGTCGCGTCAAATAAAAGATAGAACAAAAAAAGAAACCATTGGCACGCCGAGAACATCGAGAGTTACAAAATGGTACATCGAGTTAGTGCAGCCTCGACGAAGCCTATCAATTTTTCGGGATACTGCGGTGCCCCAAAAAACGTCGCATCACTCGGTTAAAAAACTGGCTCTCCAACTTTCACATCGACTCCGGTGCTCGCCATTCGCGGGTGGCAATCATTTTTATACCCAATAATACGTATACTCGCCTATACACCAGAGTGTAATATGCATACGTACAACGTATACGTCCGAGCACCGATTAATTATAATTACCTCGAGCCAAACTTCCAAAGTACCTCTACTTTAAAACTACGTGGGAGTTTGAGTAAAAAATTATGCTGGCCTCTACTTTGAGTAGGTTATTTCTTGATGTGCACGCGTCATTTTAGTGTCACGATGACGGGATTTCATGAGGAAAAAAAAAAAAATGGTAGCAACAACAACACCAGTGACGAAAGTATTATATTCGCCATAGAGGATCCTGTAACTATCTCGCGCCCGCACGCTTTTCACGTTCAGCGTTGGCGTTAAGCCCCGTCGTGCGTACAGGAATACAGAGGCGCAGAAGTACGCACAGCGATCGATTCCAGCCGCAAGCGCAGTCATCCAGATATGGCTTGCTCTGGCGCGCGAGAACCCACGTTACGTCTGTATGTGTGTAAGGGCTGCTGCAGTGAGCCGTGCTCGCCCTCGCGCCGGTATATTATGTAATGTTGTGCCCACGATGCCGGCAAACCGCGGGGGAAGCTGCTACTGCTGCAGGTGCTCAAACAAATTATTCGAGATGAAGAAGATCCCCCCCCCCTAGACTATCGCGGTGTACCGTTTGGCCAAACCAAGCAGCTCTCGAAGCTAAACGAACATTTTCGCTCCGTCGAAAGCTCAACGGGAGCAAATCGCGGAAGATCACCGGCAGCCGAACGGAGAGTATACCGTAAAAGTGTCGCGGTTCGTGGGTCCGGGGGATGAAAAATTTCAGCTCCGCCTCGTAAATCCGACGAGTGTAGATGACACACGCGTGTACGGGGGATAACACATAATAGCTAGGGGGGAGGCATTCGGATCGTCTCTCGTTACGCGCGCTATGCGAAACCCAGGAAATCGTCCGGAAAAATGGCTCGTTTCCCGCGGAAATGATCTATACCGAACTCCGTACAGTCGAATCGCGTCGAATAATTTCCACTGAAATATTCATCCTGGAGTAGTTTTATACGTTTTTTTTTACCTATTGTCGGGAACAACGCGACGTCTGACTAATGGCCGACTTTACTACTTGTTTAGAAAAAACAACGAAACCAACCAATTGCGTTGTGGGCATGCACGACTCTACAGTTGGAGGACAAAAAAAAGGCCAAGTTACAAACAATCAGCAGTTAGGGGGGGGGGGGACTCGTACAAGTGCCGATATCAAGTATAGATCGACATTTGCTCGCCTTAAACATTCGAGGCGTGCATTATTCCGGCCTCTGTACGAAACAAAAAAAAACGTGCTCCATGGCTCGTGTAAGTAACACGTGGCACGCGACTCGGGTATCAAGTGCCGAGAGAGCAGGCGAGCGATAAAGGTAATGAGGGGGGAGGGGGGAGCTAATCGGTTCAACCGCCCTGCGTCCGAAGCCGTTTAATTGGCCCGGCTAAGCCTCGCGCGCGTCCCCCTCTCGGTGCAGTATACACGTCGAACCAATACTTTGTGACGGGCCGTCTCTTTTGTAATTGAAGAAAAAAAAAAAAAGAAAAAAAAGAAATCCACGCGCGTCGCAAATTGAAGGGGTCAGACAAAATAGGCGGATTTTTTTTTATCAAAACCCGTGTATGGACAGGCAGCAGGGGGCCGGGGCTCTGATGTTCGCTTGTTATTGCAGGTCTGCTGTTCCACCGGGGTATTCTCATGTCGGGGAGCGCCCTCTCGCCCTGGGCCCTGATAAGGGGCGCCGCCAATTACGCGACTCAAGTTGCCAAGAGTCTCAACTGCTCGGTGAGTAAATAATCCTTGTACGCGACCTTCATTGTGTGTCCTCGTGTGTGGAGAAAAGCTCGATTCGCCAAAAGTTTTTCACATCGATGTGGTACACGAGTTATCTCGTTATTTGTAAGTAGGTGATATTGCATACTCGCAAGTACAAGCGCATTTGTTTAAAAACCACCAAAATAATAATCGCCCAAATGAATAATATAATCCGGTTAACGAATTCTCGTTGATTGTCACGGGTATACCTACAAATTTATTATACGGGGCAAACTTCAGATTCGCTAATTTGATGAAATTATATTCATTTCACGTCAAATTGTAGCTTTCATGTCGTTGGATGTAATCTCGTTATAATATTACAAACTCTGTAATAATTAAAATTGAAATTGCATCGCCTCTCGACTTGGTGCATTTCATAAATATTAAATTCGCACGGGCTGGGCTTGTACATATATTTAATCATCAGCAGCTCTGAATGTGCACGCGTAGAAACAACAGAGTATATATAGGTAATCGATGTCGTTGTACCCAGTATCCTTCCCCGTCGCGGGTCCAGTTGGCAGGAGCGGCGGCAGATCCGCAGGTGCTGGTCAATTGCCTGAGGGAGGTGCCGCTGTCGTCGCTGCTGGCGGTGCCGGTGCAGGGCCTCGAGTTCGCCCCGGCCTTTGGGCCCAGCATAGACGGCGTCATCATCGACCCCGGTGAACCCGAGGACTCGGACTACACCCTGCAGGTCGACACGATCAACACCCTCAACAACATACTCCTCAGGAAGGACGTCATCAACAAGCTCTCGAGGTATACAATGTATATCACCAACTAGTCTGTCCACTTTGTATTGCCCGACTTTGCCCCAACTGGGTTTTACCGACTCCAAGTGACCCCCTCTGAGCACCACTAACATAATAATAATAGTACGTAACGGTATTGTGAAAATATGAAGCAAACATTTGGAGTGTAGTGCCAACTCGTAGGATACGTAGAAGTCGTTCGCGACTGACCGTTGAGGCGCAAAACGGGAGAACAAGTTGCGGAGCAGCGCGAGAGAAAGAGTTCGCGGACAGCTGCGTGCGGGAGATGAGGTGAAAGAAAAAAAAGAATCTTGGGTGGTTGTTGGGGTCCCTTGGGGTGGGGAAAAGCGCGGTTGCTCGGATTTGCAAGATTAAGCAGCCGGTCGGGGGCTCCTTCAACTTTGCCTCCCCGAACGCAATGTCGCGCGAGCACACGGGGGGGGGGGCATTCGCTGGTTCTCAACTGACGTGGACCAAAATTTTATTAGGCCCGGAGAAATGAAATTAGAAAAGTTCGCGGCCGGGGTACGCGGTGAAATTAAATCACATCGGCGCTGTTGCTGCTTCCGTTTGCTCGGCTGGACGGCGGTGTGAACAAAAAATGCGGGAAAAATGACGAGGACGGAGTTTGCACGAGCGGGGGGACGCGGAGTTAACTGCGACGAGGGTATTTTTTTTTTTTTTACATATTTTTGCGTCAACTCGCGCATAGGACAAGCCGAGCTGCGGGAACAAGCGGGAATTAGCTCGTTATTGCAGTTTGATGGCCAGAGGCCGTGTTGACACTAAAAGTCGGAGGCAGCGAGAAACACATTCAGCTCAAAGACAATGTGGAGGAATATGGCGGTAGATTTCGAGTACTGGGTATTGCCTACACCTGGTACTTGGATTATTCGCGTGTATAAAGTATATACTAACACAACGGCGCTGATTATACCACGATGAAAAACAGTATTCGTGTTTTCCCAAAGTTGGAGATGGAAACGATGGAAAAATGATACTTTTTGATATTCGAAAACATATTAAAACTCGCAATAAAAAAAATAGGCAAAAAAAGGGCGAGCCAATCGGGGGAACGAGGGTGTTCTCAAACAGACGCACTATTTCGTTTCACAAAGCGCGTACGCGTCGGTCACGGCAACGAAAAAGGGCGCGTTCGCTCGATATTCGGCCGGTGCCCACATAAACGTACCCGCAAATAGAGAATGACGCCGGTGATGGCCGTCGAATGAAATTGCAAACGCAAGCAGGCTCCTGCCGGGGAGCACCGAAAATAAAAAATCGTCCACGCTCCGCTGGCTCCGGGCGAATTTTTTCCCCCCAAAATTCTCGAGTTCTGCCGAACGATGGAGCAACAAACTACGCACAAAAGTACCTATACCCGTGAAAATTCGGTGAACAAAAGAGGAGGGAAAAAAAAGGCTGGGTCAAGGGTTGGCAGCAGTACGTAATCGTAGAGTCCGGGGGGTGACGTTTCAGGTACGACTTGATGGTGGGCGTGGTGAGGTCGGAGGCTTACTTCTCGCTAACGGCGGACGACGCGCAGTACGGCATCGAGGCGGACCGGCGCATGAAGATACTACGGGAATTCGTGCGCAACACCTACACGTACCACCAGCCCGAAATACTCGCCACGATAATCAACGAGTACACGGACTGGGAGCGCCCCGTCCAGCATCCGGTCAATATCAGGTGGGTACACGCACCCTAAGATTGCTATCCCTTATACGCTTTGTCCGATCCTGCAGGCTGCAGTACTTTAGCGACGCGCTACTTTACTATACCCTATATAATGTTAACAACTGTACAGTGTTCCAGCAAACTTGCACCAAACTTCCAACTGCTATATCGTATATACGCCGTTTGACAAATATTTCACGCCCGAGTATTGTTCGGTCGTTTAAGTAATTACTTTGTACGAGCGATAGAATTTATCAATTTCTTTTTTTTTTTTTCTTTTTTATAATTCGCATCGGTTTGCTGTAATTGGGAAAACAAAAAACAAAATAATCCGTCGTTTCCGTCCCTCGGTCGCACAGCCATATTTCACGTGTCAAATAAAAATCGTACTTACAACTCTGGATGCGAGTGGCCGGGCAATCAAAATCTATAGGTATACATACATCACGGTCATCGATTCTCCCTCTCTTTTTCTGTCGCTTTTTGTGTACGCAAACATACCGAATGGTTATCGTATAATGGGGCGTCGTCAAATAAAGAAATAAATCAGCTCAATCGATATCGTCGCGCATGACAAGTGCACCCACACGCACGTCAAAACGAAATTTAATCACACGTGCCAATTATACGCAATTTCGGCCCAAAAGCCCGAGTGTACTCAGCCGCGATGTTATTGTAACTTACAACCTGATTGTAATCTCTCTATTGAAAAAACTGACATCCAATCAAGCGAAATATTTATGAAAAGAAAGGGGGCGATTTTCGTGTTACCTGTACATCCATACACACGCCCGGTCTATAAAGGGTACATGGAGAGGGGGGAGGGGGGGTTGAGCATCGAGCAAAATGAAGCGAAGAATAATGGAAAGGGAGCACGAAAAACGGGTGCTCTCCTCCTCCGGCCTCGGTGCACTTTGGGCCATTCAGTTGCACACACCCGCTGCGGAAGCAAATCGACCTGTCCATTTGCCTGCAACTTGCAGTCGACGTCTCGGCTGTTGATTTGTTTTTTCCTTTTATTCCTAAAGCACCGATGCGTGCGTGTGTTCGCAGAGACGAAACGCTGGAGGCTCTGGGGGACGCGAACACCGTGGCACCGGCGACCCGCACGGCCGACCTCCACAGCCAGTCCCACCGGAACTCCTACTTCTACGTCTTCGACTACCAGACCAAGTTTGGCGATTATCCCCAGGTAAGCGAACCGGCTGAGCCGATTTGGTGTAGCCCCGAGCATCGTTTGCGCTCTCCTTTGTGTCCGAAGCGACGGGCAGTCACGAGCTTAGGGAAGAAAACCACATGTTATGTAGAAGGAGCCGATGTCGCAAAGACTTGTTGTTTTTACAATAATGACAAAACGAAAGTCAGCTTTCTCGGTGTACCCAATCACCGTTGGCTCGAGAAACAGGTTCTTCTGATCATTCGGCTGAAACTTGAGGGAGGACCCAAGAAGATCTTATAGCGTGGCACCTAAGACGCTCGCGTCCGTGTACACCTACACCTCGGCATCCCTTTGACGGTCAGCGTGTGTATAATACCCGTAATGCTTGAGCAAATACCCCTATAGGTATACAGGGGGCTCTCTTGTACGTTATCTAAACGCGTCAAAGTCAATAGCATGGATAAGCTCTCGCTTCGTTGACGCAACATAAGACTTTATTGATCCGCGTGTTTATGTATGTCGGTACAATTAGCCATGCAGAAAGAGGTCTCGCGTAGCTTTTACAAACTTTTCATTCGAGGAACTAGCGAAAGGGGTTTGACAAAAAAATATTGGCTTTTGCATCGGAAATGGAGTATATAATACCTACTTGCTTAGAAAAAAATTCAAAAGTCAATCGACCAAGGTTTTTCAACCCTGCACCATCATCGCCTGCCTGACTTTTCCACCATTACTTTTTCTCCCCACCCCCGCCTCTTTCTTCTTTTGTGCGGCGCGAAAAGTTTGGCTATCCAGAGAGAGAGAGAGAGTGGGTATACACACACGCGCATGTAGGTACACGTATAAAGCCAAGAACCACCCCCTGGTGTACTGGACTCGCGGCGCTGCATTATTTCTATTTCAGAGGGATGCGCTTGAATTGCGCCGGACTACGTCGAGCTGCCCCCCTCGTCCGGCCAATCTTCCCTCCTCCCTCCAGGTTTCTTTCAATCCTCCCGCTCTCTTTTTCCACCAGCCATTCTTTTTCCTATACTTTTCTGGCCCTACCCTCGTTTTTCTTCGCTTCCTTTTTATTTGCTTGCCCCCAACTGTTTTGTTTTTCATTTTTTTTTCCTGGTCTCGTGGAACCATCGGAAAGATACTACACTGCATGTGCTACACCGTGCCGGCAGCATACGGCAAATAATTTATCGCGAGGAGCATTTTCTTCCTTTTTTTTTTTTTTTTTTTAATATCACGAGAAAAAGAAATTTCGGAAAGAATTCCTCCACAGTTTATTAACGTGCGATACCAGCTTGACGTCTTTATAAAGCTTTTTTGGGTTCAGCCATTTATGACGGCGTGCAAGATTTTTATTTCCTCGTTGAACAAAATTTTTATCATCAAAAGTTGTGATTTTACGTGAAACGTAATTTTTTTTAATTATTTTCAAAATTTGCAGTGTTTAATAAATGTAAAGAAAAATAGTTACAACGCTCCAAACCTTGAAATTTCAATAATGGAGTAAATTTAATTAAACAAGAGTAGGTCATATTTTTAATGAAAAAGCCACCCTCGGGTCTCCAGATCGAGCAAGTACGGTGAGAAAGTACAATTTTTCCTCCAGGGGGGGATTTGGCACTCGAACGAGCCGAAGAGAATGAAAAATAAAATACTCCGGTATATGATAAGCCATCGGCAAATGTGATTTTGACTACAAAGGGAGTCATGCATACATGTGTATTTTTGGCGTATAGAAAATAAAACAATTAATTATTTAAAAAGTAATATTCGATGCGTCTGGAATTGCATGGATTTACCTGCATGTTTTTTCATCCGGTAAAATGTTATTTTGTAAAACTAATTGGATCATTAGATCGCATCGTTTAACCTCCCCAAAAAAAAAAAAGTCCTCGTCGTGAAGCCTCAAGCATTACCCCTGAGTTCCCGCAGCTCAATCCATCTCGGTCACTTATTTTTTTACATCCCTCCCCCTTCTTTGCCCCAACAATCGACGTACTTGTCGTATATCTCGCTGGGGCTCTCCGCCTTCTCTCACGGTATCACCGTAATTCTTCGCGCCCACGGCTTACTTTGCATACGGATAAGCCCGTGCGGCTTTCGCATCGACGCTCCAACTGCGAGCCGGAAACTAAATGAAAGAATATTAAAAATAGTGCTTTCAATGGAGCGCTTGAGCCTTCCCTCCCCGCACCGCCGCTTTATTAGATTTTCCGCGGCTGCAGCCTCCCGTTTATTTCCCCCCTCTCGAGCTTACGCCTGAGTATTTCGTGCCAATGCTTTTTCCTCCTCGCGGTGCATCGATTTGTGATTTCCCGAGGATTTTTCTTCCATCGATGAATCGTTTCGAAAAAGTACCCCAAGAAGCGCTTTGCGTTTTTCTCGTTTACTCGATTAAAAACCACTTACATTTCACCCCTGATTGATAACAGTCTATTCGAGTATTTTGTGCTTTGTCGATATTTTTCTTTTTTTTTTTTTTTCAATAGCCCCGCCCTTTCAATTGCAATAGCGATTATTGCCATTATTTCGTAAGGATTCGCCAAATTACTTTTATCCTTCTGGAAAAAGAAAATTCTTCTTCCAGCCAATATGGCCAATATGATTCGTTCGATATACATTGCGAGGAGGGGCTTTGAGGGCTTTTCGAACCCCTCGGAAAGAGCTCTTGCGGGTAGGTGCTGAAATTCATGCCGATTCTCTACGAATATGGCAAGCAGACGGACGCAAATCAGCCCCCAAGGGTCTTTTCCCTCTTTTTCGTACAAGTGCACCTATAGTTTTTCGATTCATCAATTTTTTTTTTTTTTTTTTTTTCGCCTTTGCGGTGCATTTTTATTCCGTACCCTTGATAAATACAATAATTTCCATCAGCAAGTTAACATTTTTTTCGAAACGCAATTCGTATAATACTGCAGACATTGTTNGGTGTAATTTTAATATCGATATGGGTAAAGTTCGCGGTCGGAGTCTTTTATTTTTTCACGAAGATGAAATATCGCGAACTTGAAGGGGCTCCCGATGAATCAGTTATTGATCTGCTTCGAAGGTTTTTTTCAGACAATCTGTACATCTGACTTGACACTAGGGCACTATAGGGTATTTGCTCGACCAAGTAAATAAGCTTGTATCTATTGTTGGAATGGATAAAAAACTTTTCTTGCCAGTGTCATAAAAAAATTTTAAACTTTTAAGAAAATTTTTCATTAAAATATGATACCCTCCAGAGATATCGGGTCCCGCCACCTTTTAAAAAGCTTTTAAGGACACCACAATAAGCTCTTGTATTTTTATCTACCCTATAACGTCGGAGAAAAATAAAACCATCATCATCATCATCTCGTACGTGCTTTCACGTGTTAATTAACGCGCAACGCAATTACGGTGGTGGAATAACCTCGAGATATTAAAATTTCTGCAAAGATATAATGCCCATAGCTATAATATTCATTTCGCCGGCGCCGAGGAGTCGAAACTCCGTCGAACGGTAGAGAGGAAAAATGTACAAACAACCCGACGGGCACTCGTTTAGCGTCACTTTTTGAAAAGAAAGCCAACAACAATAGTATAGAGAAGCGAAGGATGCGAGAAGGCGCGCATAGAGAGACAAAGTGACGACGGGGAGCTCTCCTTTGTCCCGACACGTCGAGGGCTGCCGGGCGCGAATTCGAGGACTTTCCCTTCGGACCCTTTTTTCAGCTTGAGTCGTTGAAATATTTCGCAGGCTCGCCCGTAATTTCGCCGATCCCGATCGTGTACGCGACAGGGAACATTGACATCTTACAAGAGGGAAGCGTGTTTTTGCTGCCGCTGTTGGGGTGGAAAAAAATACACGCACGCAAGTGTATCGGGCTCGTTTGAGGCGTGCACAATCCATTAAAGTGGCGGAGCGGGAGCAGCAAAACTCGGTGTATCCCGATCGGTTCTCTTTGATGTCGTGTACACTCGACTCTGTACTTCCACTTGCTTGAAAAAATTTGGTTTAATTTGCTTGGTGACTTTTTTAGTCTTTATACCGTTGTAAATTACATCGTTACATACAACGTGGAACCCTGGGCTCGTTCGATTGTCTTTGTATATTTATGCGCCGGGGTCTAAGGTGTTACGCACGCTGAAACGCTTTCGTATGAGTTTTACGCCCCGTAAATTTGTTTACAAAATATCTTACGTGAACAATGATTTTGAAATAAATGATGATTCATTTTTAAAAAATCGAAAATAACATCGTAGCGTTGTCGTTGATTTGGTCTCTTACAGCGGCAGGGGTGCATCCACGGCGAGGAGTTGCCGTACTTCTTTGGAGCCCCGATTGTTTCGGGCCTCGCGCACTGGACCCGGAACTACACCAGGTCCGAAATTGGACTCTCCGAGAGCGTCATCCTCTACTTGGCGAATTTCGCCAGGACTGGGTGAGTATACCTTTGCCGGCCCCTCTCGAATTCAATGACTCGCAATTTCAAGGCAATGTTCAACACCGAAGCGTAGTCTTACTGCAATTTTCGCAAAATACAATTCGAATTGAAAAAGAAATTTCGTCCGACTTTTATTTTTTTTCCTAAATGCAACGAGGTCGCGTGAAATAGGGGAAACTACTCAAGTGAAAATACGTTCGACGGATTATGTATTATCCGCGTGGGTTCCGGATCTTAGAAATGAAAGGGAAGAAGATCGGAAAAGAGGAACGGAAAAAATTCCATCTTTTTGTTAGTAGCTCGCGACGGGCGAAATTTTCCGGGCATCCGCGAAGCCAACTGAATATCCTCCGAAGCTCCAATTCTTTGTCCAGGGCTGCTCTTTTGAAAAGCCACCGCCAAAGAACTTAAATTTAACTTTGTGTAAAGAGCACGGGAGCGGAAAAAGTACAAATTGCGATATTCCCTAGCACCGTGTACACCACCCTTGGGAGGGGAAAACGACGCAATGGAAATGAAAATGAGCACTTGACTCGATCACGAGAAGATAAAAGGGTGGTGGTAAAATAAAAGCTCTGGGGTCCGAGATGGTACTCGAGTGGTGTAGAAGTTACGGAAAATATGCGATGGAGCTTGTTGGTTGTTGAAACGCACGTGTGTCCACAGCAATCCGAACGAGGGGACACCGGAGCCCGGCTCGCCGGCCACGAGGCCGGAACGCACGAAACTGAAAAATCTCGAGTGGACTGCCTACGAGAACGTGCACAAAACGTACCTCAGCATAGGTGAGTTTTCTCCCCCCCCCCCCTCTAATCATTTATCTTAAATTGGATCAACAATTGTGTCGAAGTAAATCGGCCAGCCACTCGAGGAGCAGTATGGTTAACAACAATTAATAAACCTCGTCTCGCGTTACTTGCGTAAGCAAATCAACTCACTCCCTACATCCCCTTATTATTAAAACGCTCGTGTTTATCTTCTCCAGACAACAACGACGATTATGACGAGGGTGGAAAACAAAGGGCCCGTCATTAGCACGAGCGACAGCTACGCCTTCGCGCCACTACAACCACATCTTTTTATATTCCCAAAGAGTTGAGGGCGCAACTATCTCGAGTTTCGTTTAAAAATCCACTCGATGCGCGGTTCATTTTTTTTTTTTTTTTTTTTTTTTCCAAAACTAAGGAAATACCGATTCCTCCGTCCCTCATCCCCCTTTTCCACGAAACTGCCGCCCAACGGCTGTACTTTTTACTTGCGTCAACCCCTCCTCGGTATCATATTCGTAAGTAATACTTATACTTGCCGGTAAAATACACGGTGTACTTATACGTGATAATGAGTAGGTGTAAAATATGCTGTAGCGCAAAGTGTTTTCCCCCGATTCGTTCGAGCAGATAAAAGAGCCGAGTCCTCCTCCTCCTCCACCCCTCGGTATCTCCATTTTCCCAGGGACTTACGTGAATTTTCCCGCTCCCGGCGAATCCAATTCCCATTTGTTCGTCCACTAGCTCTCGCGACCAATTTTCTCGGCTAACTCGATCGAGGCCGCGCGAATAGCCCGAGAACTCCGCGCACCCGGAGGACCCTCTCGATCGTCCGGCTTCGGTGTTCCATTCCCACGGGTATGACTCATACGTACTGTACGAATCCGATTGTATATTTATAGCCGGTGAGCAGCGCGCGAGGTGTTTGCTTGTAATGCATATTATATTTTATTTAAAGAATAATAAGCTTTCATCGGTTCTTGAGGATTATAAAAATCTCTGCGAGGTTTGCACGATGCACATTATTCACAATACGCGCTTGTGTCCAGAGAAGGGATTTTCCGGTGCATTGTAAATTTGAAGCCGAGAAACGAAACGTTGTCTTTTTTTTATATTTATGACGCGTTGCGAGCATCGCGTACGTTCACACGCGTGTAAATACATTACACGCGAGCATAGCAACAAGTATATAGGGATGTGTTAAAGAAAAATAGTCGATAACTTCGTCCCTGTCGCATATCGTACTGTGTGCCGTTGTACGAAATTCTTTTGTCGAAAATAAATATTTCAATTCGAGCCGATCGGGATTCCTGATTTTCAATATTTGCTCGAAAAAATGGATTTTCCAAAGGCTTCGCGCATTTTTCCTTCCACTCGGCAACTATTTTTGCATCGAGGAGATATATCTTTGCTTTTATATTGTTGAAGGAAGACACATTTTTTTTATTTATGTTTTTTTTTTTTTTTTTTCATCAAGTTTCCCAATGCTGCTACGCAAAGTGTATACACAAGGTAAAAACTGCGGGGAGAAAATTTTCCCTGCACCCTCGAGGGCTTCTTTGATAAAGTTTCCTCAGCACACACACGGCTGTGTAACGAACAAACTCGTCCAATTCATTTGTCGTGTGTGTGCGCAGGTTGGCCTGGCGGTCAAAAGTTACGGACGCGGCTCGGAACTTGACGATAATATTTGTCGAAACGGAGCTTTGAGGCCGGAACTGTAACTGACGTTGGTGCATCGCAAAATGCCATCGGTGTAGGTGGTGCATTGGATATTCCAGTCTCCCCACCGCGGGATCGCACGTATACCATACACATTTGCCGTAAAGTTGATGAAATGAAATATATATACGTGTCCCTTCTACCCCGCCCCCCGCGATCGTACCAAACTTCTGTGCAACTCCATGTGGGGATTTTCAACGTAGGTAGCTACGTAAAATGATTTATCCTCTTTCGGCTGAACTTGCACGGCTCACGGCATACCAAATATGTGCGGAGCTATGCGAAACACGCGATAACACTTTGCACCGCGATGTGTAATTTTCTCGGCAAACTCCTTTCTTGATTTTCCGGCGTATGGAAACTTCTCATCTCCCTCTCTCGTTACAACGCAAATTTACCCTCCTCCTCCTCCTCCCGGGTATTTATACGCGCGCGTGTTGCGTGAACGAATCCATAAATATTTGGTGTGGTTACAAAGGGACGGAGAAAAACATCGGTACTCGGTAATATGAAGATAAGAGTAGGTACTTGAGTAGGCAAAAGGGGAGAAGGGAAAAGAAAAAAAACAAAAGTCTCTTTTGAGGAGAGAGAGGAAGGGGTGATTTTATCAAATCTGCGGTATATATACATATAGAGGACCTCGGAGCCGGTGCAACCCTACCACTCGTTATAATTATCTAAATTAACGATCCGCCGGGGGGTGATTCTTCTCCGCCTCCAAGATTACGGTGCCGTGTATATGGCCATGTACGTATGTATAATGGCACGTATATAGTGTAACCAGATGCCGATCGATCTCCTCGGGAATCGCGCAAATAAATATATTAATAAGTAGTAACAACGACGCTTAAAAATCTCATTTGTATGAGAAAGCGTTGCGCTGCGGTATGAGGATTAATTTATTTGTTCTTTTTTTTTTTTTTTTTTTGCGTGTACTTGAATGAGCTTTTTCGGTTAAACCATTGCGAAATGTAATTTTTGGAGCGAAATTTTAAAATGCGTTTCAAGATTTTCAACTTCATCGCGTATACTGTTTCACTTGGGACTAAAAGTTGGGTACTCGGCCCCACTGGTGAGATTAAAGTTAATGAAAATATTATCAGATCTGGAAAGTACAAGTACATTCAAGCTTGAAATTTCGTTTTTTATTTTGTCACAGACCTGTACGTGTAGGTTTACATCGTGACGCGCGTTTTAACGGAACAGGACAGAGTTTGAAATTATAATTGGGACACGAGACAAAATTCCGAGATTTTCGTAACTACGTTCATAGGTATACATTATTCTCAACGAAATTAAACAATTTGCATAACTGTGTTGCTCGTACTTTTTCAAACTAAAACACGCGATGGAGATTTCGTTCCACCGACGTCAGTAGAAACAGTACTTTTTCGGTAAGACATCCTTCGATCCTTTCCTTCATTGTTCATTGAAGACAAAAAGGTATACTACATTTCACTCCACGTTAATAAATGACGTTAGGGTAAAGTGGCCGTGTAAAATTTTCTTCGACCTCTAGAATATTTATAACGTTGGTTTGTGCCACATTAGGCAAGCACAGATATTTCAAAAGCCAAACCTCTGTAGAAAGCAAAAGTACGCCCAGCCACGAGCAAAAAAAAAAGAGGAGTCTAAAAGGGAGCCACGTCAAAAGAGACTTTGAAATTAAAACGAACCCACCTTCAAAAAAAAAAAAAAAAAAAGAAAAGAAAAAAAAACGTGTCTCCTTTCGCTCATCCCACCGCGGTGTGTACGTCATCCTCAATATGCCGCGTCCTTTTACCATTCACTTTCGCGCCAGCCTAATGAATTACCGCCCCCCAAAGTAAGGGAAAAAAAACGCATCTTTTAACTGCCAAGCTATACTGCGGTAAATGCACATGTAATGTATATATTCCGACCTCGTTTCCGTCTTGCCCTTTCAGACGTCAAGTCCAAGCTGAAAAAGTACTACAGAGCCCACAGGCTGTCCTTCTGGCTGAACTTGGTTCCCGACCTGCACAAGCCCGGATCCGATGACGTTCCTAGGTCCCACCATCTCTTGGATTCCGAGCAGGTCTGTCTCGTTCCATACCCTATTTTTTGCCCTATGAAAAAAAAATAAAATAAAATAAAATAAATGCCCCTGTGCGGGTCAGGTGCCACCGCGCTTCATCCAGAGGCTACCGGCGACCTCGGAGAAGCCAACCCCGAGCCCAGAGTCGACGAGCGAGCGGCCGGCGAACGCGACGTCGGCCAGACCCAACGAGTTGGCCTACGAGGAGACGACGAGCCAGCCGGAGGACGGTTTCGCCGCCTACAGCACCGCCCTCAGCGTGACGATAGCCATAGGCTGCAGCCTCCTCATACTCAATGTCCTTATATTCGCGGGGGTGTACTACCAGCGGGACAAGAACAACCAGCAGCACTACCCCAAGAAGCGCCAGGAGAACGGACAGATGCCCAACAACATATGCGGGGAGCTTGGTACGGCGACCCTCATGGCTTTACTTTTTTTTTTTCACCATTTTTAATACCATAGACGTGTCAAATGGCACACACAAAACTCAAAATGGCAGATATTGCAAACATGGATTTTAACAATAATATCAATACAATGGGTCACGTGTATATTAAATATATATGTATTATTCGATGACGAAGTCGAGGTTGAAATTTTGAGATTCGAGTTACGGCAAACGTATAAGTATGTACTTGTATCAGCGAGTCCTCTAATTGTAGGCATGGACGCGCGGTGTAAATTCAAAATGTCCCGTCCGTCTGACAATGTGTAGTTTTGTGCTCGGAAATGAAAAAAAAAAAAAAAAAGAAAAAAAACATGTCGTTGTTAGGCTCACATCGGCCATTTTGAATTTTGATTTGTCGTCCATGCGTATATGGTTACCTTTGACGCGTGTCAAAGGCGCACGCCTGAAAGTGCCGAATTCCAGCAGGCCAGCCGTACTGGATCAGCCAGACCGAATTCTGAAATTTCCGCCTCGACGAGCCGTCGGACGCGAGGGGCCCTTAAACCGAGATGCACATCACGTGTATACACGCATCACTGTTGCAGAGGCCAACAGCAAGCCCGGGGAGCACCGGCGCGTCCAGCACGTGCCACCCCCGGTGTTTGCCGATCCGCCGGCCAACTCGATGACCTGCCACGTGCCCATGCCCCCGCCACCGCCGAAGAACCCCAAACCGCCGATCGGCCAGATCATCAGCCCCAACCAGTTGCAACAGGTCGACGCTCTCCCCGGCTCGAGTGGCACCCTCAAGAGGACCCAACACCACCACCACCACCACCATCACCACCACCACCAACAGCAGCTCACCACCAACGAGGAGCTGCGCGTCTGAGAAAAGGAGCCGCAAGAGTCCGCCTTCTCTTGCGACTTTATCTAAATCCGTATAAATACATATATATATATATATATATATATATATACATACAGTGCAGTTTTTTGTACGCGCAGAGACTAATATACCTGTCATACTTACATTACGGTGTAAAACAAAAGTATTTCAAAAAAAGTGGACGAGCCATGTGTGACCGGCTCTCCTTTTCGAGGCGAATGTGTGCGACGTCCGCGCGTTTTCTGATTTCTTTCTTGCTTTTTTTTTTCGCTATGTGGATACGCGAGATAAACACACGTGCACGAGTTAGTTTTTTTAAAATATTTTCTCCGAAACGAACCTCGGTATAAGGTATGGTGGAGTGACCGCGGCGTCGGATACGGAAATTGTAAATAATGTTGTGGTACGTACGTAGGTATACGTAATAAATTACCACCACCACCCCCCAACCCAACCCCGTCGTCCCCCGGGAGACTTTGTACACACATCCGAGGGCGCTTATTAATCGCCGAGCGATTTTCATGCGGATGTGCCCAGTTTTTTTTCCAACGGAAAAATGTTACGCCGACGCGTGACGGGTAACTGTACTGATTAGCGCTGTAAATATTACTACGTATACGGATTTTCCTTTTTTTTTTTTTCTTTTTGATCGTCCGGATACGCACGCGCGCATTTCCCGCATACAAAGTTGTTGCTCTAGGGGACTGCACTAAAAATCCGGGCTCGTCTCTTTGAAGATTCGTACTTGACGTTACATTGTGTTTGTAGCTGATTCTATTTGTTTTGGTGACTGCAATTTCGCGCACTTTTCGATGCTTTTCGAAAAAAGTTATTGACGGTGTGTGTGTGTATGAGGCGACGCGAGCGAAAATAATTTTGTTCGTCAAGAGCACGTTGGTTCTCGTGCCGTTGAAAAACCAATTTGTGCACAAAGTAACGAACTTCGTGAATAATTGGAGAGCATTTAATCAGTGGATGCGCGCGTACTCCGATGTGTCGCGGAAAATAATGATCCCCGATAATTTACGCCCCCCCCCCTTCCCTCTAAATTTTTTACAATCATTCCCGTGTGTATAGATGCAAAAAATATTTGGTACGTGTACATCCTCTCGTGAATATTTGAGGTGAAAGGAAAAAAAAAAAAAAAAAGTAAACGTCAACGTAGGTTTGGTACTTTAAGTATAAAAATTCTTCTACCACAAAGCTAGAGATCCATTTGTTGAAACTTGCGATGAATTTTAATCGTTAAAATTTTTTACCAAAGCAAAAGTGCGGATTGTGTGATGGGCGTTTCGTCGTGAATAATTTGAGTACACGATTTCGATTGAACGAAAGTTTGCTGTGAAAGTGACGTTTTTTTTATCAACTGCGTAGAATTGTATATTTCAAATTCATCATTGGATCTCATTCCGTGTATTATATGTAAAAGTACTGACTGTATACTCCGTTAATTTTTTTTATGAAGCTATTTTACGATTACAATTATCATCCGTCGAGAAAACGTTCGAACTACATTTTGTTGCGTTGTTTTCATATTTCACCAAACGAATAAAACGACAGAAAAAGATTTTTGCCAATGCACACGATTATTAAAATTTGTTTTAAAAAATACTTTGTCTTTACGTTAGTTGAATCAAAAGCATAAACATTTTGAAGGTGTGAAGTAAAAGTTAAGTTCGATAACGAAAAATTAAGATACTTGTAGAAATAATGACTGCTCCAAGCCAAAAATGTTCAATACCTCCTCGAGGAATGAGACCACGAATATTGAAAAGTAACCAATCAATCGAAAAATTGTGCGGTGCCGTTTGGCGATTTTCATCCTCATTAGCGGGTTTGTAAATTGTAAAAATAAAATTGGCTATTACACCAATGCAAAGAGCAACTACACGCGATACTGCCATGTATCCGTATAACACATGATGTAACAAGTACTCTTTTTACCTCGACGACCATGTATACGAATAGGCACTATAATAATTATATGTGTACCTTCGCTAAGAGAGACAAAGAGGATAGAAAAGCGAAAACGGCACTTGAAAAGTTCGTCCAAGTAGTCCGCGGTACATAATTCGTTTGTATGGAGCATATTCGTGATTCGATCAAACAATTAATTTTTCATCCACAAAGATAAATTTTTCAAAGTTATTGACCAAGTGGACTTGATTACCGTATCTCCTTTCACTCATGTATTTTCAGCATTTGTGGGTGAGGCACATGTATAATTACGTGATTCTGTTTTTTTTTTTTTTTTTTTTTTTACGCAAACTGATGTATACATATTGGATGGATTTGTACATAATACAGTCTTTGAAATAATCATCTATACAAATTATGGAACCGATAGAGAAAAGTTTTTATTTTTAGGGATTGTACATACAATTATTTATTGTTTGGTGTGCAAAGATAAATTGAAATTAGTTCGTATGTTATGAAAAATTTTGTATGAAACGTAAATTAATTCGTATGATTGTATTTGTAGTTTTAAACAGAAGTAATAATATTCGAATAAAATAAAATACCTCCAATACTATTTCAACTTTTTTTATGAAACCTTTATTTTGTAGAAAAAAAAAAATTATTTCACAAACCATTTAATGTTTTTTTTTTTTTTTTTTTCAATAATTTCACCATGATTGAATTATTATATACTTTTAATTTCTGCAATGTTTTGACTTATTGTTGTATTTTTTTTTTTAATTTTCACATATTAGAAAGTAATCAAGGAGTCGTATAAAATTAATATTATATCATACGGTTTGGAACAACTCAAATAGCTTGAAAATCCCTAGTTATGTTAGGTAATATTAGTTTCTCGATTTAATTTACAAAAACATTTAAAAAAAAAGCTTGCATGAGATTAATTTCACTAAAAAAAAATTTATCTAAAAACGACAATTTTCTTTTTCGTTCCGAAAACATTCTGGCCATTTTTTATTGAGCCTATAAAAAATATTAACTGTAATATGAAATATCAACTATAAGAATATACCTTTATTGGCGACTTAACGACTTTCAGTAGCATCAATAAAAAATAAAACGTTAAATTGACTCCAGACGGAGAAGTTTCGCGAACTTTTTGTAGATAATTATGCTGTATATACTTTTAAAATAATATCGTTATAAATAACATGAAAATTTTATCCTTTGATTCTATAATTAAAAAATGTCTTCAACCTGCTTATATGTCTGTAAAACCATTCTCCTAATTTCCAGGAAAATGTGAAACAGTACAATACACTAAAAAAAAAAAAAAACTACAAGAACCGAATATTTCGTGCAATCGAGACTTTCAATAGTACTCAACTACAAAAAAAAAATTTTTTTCAAGATTCAGAGCCTAATGAAGTTGCTTTTAGAGGTTTGGGTAGTAGAAGGATAACAAAAAATAAATATCTTTTTTTTTTTTTGTTATTAATGTGGCATACAAAATTCTTTATTAGGCTATTTTTATAATTTACAAAAACTACCAAGTCTTAGTTGTAAGTTAACTTACAAATTTAAGTTTATAAAAACGGAAAATGAATGTTTACTGTTTTAAGAATAATGTATGACGACTTTGACAAATTACTACTTGCGAATGATAACTTTTGCAAACATAATTTACTTAACATGTAATTTTCAAATTCGATTTTTTCAGATAATGATAATTATCTAGTAGCTGAAATTTTTCTAAGTGTAATGAATGTTCGAAGATTTGTCAATAGTTTCAGGAAAAACTCAATAAACTTTGACGATACGGTGGTAAAATACTTTGATTGCTTGAGGAGAGTATGTAGTTTTTGATTTTACTAAAAAGTCTTTTTAGTTGAAAAATCATTCGAACGTTCGTGTATAATAGTTATCTACGTGTATACTCACGCGAAAAAGGTTGAAAAACCCAATCGGCGGTCTATAATCATATAAAAATCATCAATTCACCATCAGTCAATGGACACAAGACATCAGAGTTAAACTAACTTTCTCCTGAGATTCACACAACGAAAGTCTTTCGCAGCCTTAAAAGAGTAAGAAAACAATACCGAGAGATGTAGAGATAAGGACATGCATGAAATCGACTCCAACTAAGTATCTACAGTTGTACTGCTTGGATACTCGCGTTTTGCTTCCACATTTCTTTGGATCTTCCTTGGAGATACTGATGTTCCTTTTCACTTTTTTTTTCTTTTCCTCTTCCTCTCTACACTTGGACTCTCCTTGACGAAAAAAATAAATAAATAAATAAACGTGTAAGTATGCAGGACAATGGGATGAGGCTCGTTGCGACTTAGTTTCTTCTCTTCACTTCTGCTGTTGACACAGCTGTATACCCTCTCACGCGCGCGCGGAATGGATCACAGCCAACACGTGAACATCACATGAAAATCAGCATCCTAGCAAATACAGCCACCTTCGCCGTCGGACTCGCCTCCGTTTTGCATTTGTGACTGGTTCTGCAGGTCGACAGCTTTTTTTCAATGTTCATGTTAAGGGACAATTTTGCAGGCAAATATTTTTTCGTTAACTAATTTTTCTGTTGTATCATTCCGTCACTGATTTTGATTTTTCAAATACTTTATTTGCGTAACTAAAACTTTAGCAAAACAAAAAAATAATTTCAAAGTATATTTCAGGTATTTTATGTACACTGTTAAGGTGTACGTATGTATGTACACATCATTTTGTATGAATGTAAATTTTCTTAACATTAGAATGCCAAAAAAAAACAGAATTTGAATAAATTTTCTTAATAAAATAGGACATACGTTTAATAAAAATGAAATTTTTCTGCTCTTAAGTCAAACCATTTTTAATTATTGTTATTAAAGTTACACTGTTGTCATAAAAATATTTATTGCATAACTATGTAAGTATTGCATCAGTCAATAGAAGCATTAATTGTTAACAACAATAGAGTTTCATCTTCGGAATGGACGAATATTATTACACTATCAATGAAGAAAAATTTGTTGCACGTGCATCAAATGATTTGTTTCATAAAACTTAAGTACGTGCAACGTTTGAAACAATTTGATAAAAACAGGACGGACTTTTTTTTTTTTTTTTTGCAGAGCAAAGTACATTTTCATGCATGAATTTACATTTTGGAAAAAATACAAAAGTACGGCTCTTCAAGTCAACAAATTCCGAACACAATTTCTTCAAGTAAGCAAACATTTAATCGTTACAGCTAAGCTAGGTACTACAGCATTAATAACTTATAGACAGATATCATACCAATAACTATTACTCTTAAATAATTCGTTGAATAAAATAATTTCTTTAGTACTGCCGAATAATTTTCTTCTTAACTACATTGATCATTAAAAAAAAAATTTTTCTATGCAAAGGAATATTTTAACAAATGCATGTATTAAAAAATCAATTGACTAATTGTGCATAAACAGAGTTGAGTGCGACACAATACGACATGCCAGCAGATTTTAAAAGATATATTTTTACACACGTATCCACACACGTGTTTGTACATTTGTGTGTAAATTAGAAGATTACAGATAATACTCATTTATATAAAATAAAAATAATTATTGTATTTAANTTATTGTATTTAAATATTAAAATTAAATAAATCAAAAAGCTAAAAAATTTTAGTTTTTCCCAATTTAAAAATATTGCATACAAATATAATCACAATGCACATCCGTACTTTCAATTATACACATCGTTGTAGCATATTTTATTTTTAGCATATCTTTGACATACTAAAAATTTAAATAACCTATAATAATAATTAAATAGTCGATTGAAAAATAACTGGGATGACTTGTGACATTAAATCACTTCAAAATTATAAGTGATCACATCTAATAATAAATGCACCTTTTTTTTAATTTATTGCTACAAATGTACCGCATTCTCGTGAGACTTAGTTTTTAAAAATCATCTTCAACATAATTTACTCAATCAATCAATGACCGATTAAACTTACATTTGGAAAAACGTTCGACTTAAAGATATCAAAACTAATGGTGTATTTGATTGATCGATCATTGATTGTTTGAATGTTTTGGCAATTAGTGCATTCAACCCTTGAATTTTTATGATAACACAGTTATTTTTTAGTCTGTTAATTAAATAATTTGTATGTTGAGTGACTCGCGCATTCAAACGCAAACAGCCAATGTCGGTCTAACATGCACAACTGCTTTCTGAGGAACTGAGTTCGATCGGTGTATCCTTTAATACTACTTCTTGCACTACGATAAAAAAAACAACACATTGAGGTGTTACAAAAATCATTAAGGAAAATATAAATAAACATAAGGAAAGACAAATTATGATAATAGAATTGGGTAAAAAAATTTGGAAGAGCAAAATTGATGAACCAAGGGAAGCAAACGCAATTGAAAAATTTCATGCAACACTTTGAAATAGTATTTTTCTCAAACGGAAAAAGGATACTGTCTTCTGGTGGCTTGTTCTCGGTAGAATCCATACCTGGCAGAGCAGCTGCTACTCTTCTGAATAGCTGTAGATTTTTAAAATAAATGTTAATACAAATTTTCAGAACATCAATCAATGTACAGAATACCTGTTTGACATTATATCCGGCCTTAGCACTGGTTTCAATAAACATAACATTCAATTCCTTAGCCTTCCTTTCTCCTTCTTCGGTAGATACCTGGCGCTTATCACTGAGATCTGTTTTATTACCAACAAGCATGATGATTACATCGCTTCCTCTTTCTGTCCTGACATCATCGATCCATTTTGATGTTTGATGAAATGAGTTTGCATCTTTAAAATATGTTGAAAAATTTAATTTTTTGAATGAAATTTATTTTCAAGTGTAATATTTTTGGCATGATGACTTACTGGTAATGTCGTAGACAACAACAGCAACAGTCGAGTCTCTGATGTAGCTTGGAATCAGTGAGCGAAAGCGCTCCTGTCCAGCTGTATCCCACAGTTGCAGTCTCACAGTTCTATCTTCTAAGTACATGGTTTTACTTAAAAAATCTATACCTATTGTAGCCTGAAAAACGTTAAAATTTATTAGTAATCCATCATACAACGTTGAAAACTACTGTAATTCACATATAGATCTAATATACTAGAAAATAAAAAATGTGACCAAATACTTGCCTGGTAGGTGTTGTCAAAACTGTCATACATGAACCGCGTGATGAGTGATGTCTTGCCAACTGAAACATTAAAAAAAAAGCAGGTAGACATACTTACTTGGGGGTTGACCAAAGTAAAAATAACAAAAATCGTGTAAAACATTAGATTGATGCCCAAATAGAGAGATAAGTACGGAAAACGAGAAATAATATTCTACTTCAAAAGAGCACACAACAGGAAGTACAGTTCAGCATCGATTACTCTATGTCAATAAAATTTGTCTTTCGTCTGCATGCTTGGATCTGATATGAAGGCTCGGCAGCTGTTGCAGCTCACGACGTGGGTACTTAAGTATATTAATTAAATTAAACAAACAACAGAAACATAAGCAGCAGAGAGAGAGAGAGAGTAAGACTCTGTTTCATTTTAAATATGCACACATGGTACAGAAAGAACGGGTGTTATGGAGAGAAAATCGCGTCAATGTAACTTACCGCTCTGTTCACCCAGAAAGACGAGTTTGAACTTCCTGAGCGGGTTGCCGAAGTCGCCCGACGACGACATGGTTCACGCTTCTGCAGAGTCTAGATGAAACACTCTGGGCTCTTGGTACAATAGTGAGTACACGCTCACCAAGTAGTAGTACAAAACCACGACGTACCGACCGACGACGTTCTATTCTTCCAGAAGAGGGTGATGTACTCGTGGCACAGGTATACCTACTGCTCGATAATTGTACCTGTGGATACTATGTAATAATACAGCATGCAGATGAGCAGCAGCCGGCGTCTTTCGAAGCCACTCCTCTCTCTCTTAGAAGATCTCACCCTCTCTTTCTCTCATGTGCTATACGATGTCAAATCCAATGCTATCCAGCAGCCAGTGATGTATTATCCATCCAGAGTCAATCCCAGGATGACTCGTACTGTAACGAATTGCTCGAGTACTAACGCACTTCTGCCAGATAATTCTTGTACACGACGACCACGTCGACGACCACGTAGTCATGCACGTACCCACGCAATCTATCTGCTATACTCGTGCATGTATGATGTTGGATATTAGTATAGGTGTGTATTTGTGACAAAATAAATATACGCTTAGCTGGCAGCTGGCACTCTGATACACACACTACACACTCTGAAGCAACCAATTCAATTAAAATTCAACTCTTAAGTAATGTCTGCTTATTAATTCCTGTGGCTGGAGTTGACGATCTGGCACTAATTTAAAAATTGTTGTAGTATACCTGTAGATACAGGCAGTATACTGGCAGTGTTAGTACTGTTATTATACGCTGGCAGTCAGCCTAGTTAGTATAGTATGTACTCTTACTATGTACTAAGTACTATAATAACAGCCAGTACGACATATTTGAGTATTACTAAACTAACACAATGACGTCATCGACATCCGATGCGGAATAATCCGACTAATCCGAGATTGAACAGAGTACTGGTACTTAATGTATTTAAGTATGTCCCGAGCCCCGAGTATCCATCCGACACTTCAGCACTTCAGGTAAGAAGGAACGGAAACGGACCCGTTTAACGGCACTTTGGATTTATTCCGCAATCGCCGCCAGCCAGTAATACATACGTATGACGTGACAACATTGCGTAGTTGAGGGCGCTACTGTCGATGTACTGGTGATACCCTGATACCTATTATACTAATGTCAGTCAGTGATGTATTCCGCGATCTCTGCACCAGTAGAAAAGCAGATGACATCACGGTCTCCTTGCTCTTTTTCGTGACTTTTTCTGATCGTAAACAAAGTAGACGATAGAATTGTGATATTTTCCGACGTACAGGTGCTGGTGCAGAGATTGCGGAACACATTATCAATAAATCGACAGTAGCTCCCCCCAGCCACGCAACCTGCACAACGCAACTTTGTCATGTCGTAAGTACATATCTAACTGGCTGACAGCAATTGTGGAATACACCGTGTTATACCATTCCGTTGTCTCTGTGTTATACCATTCTGCCGTTTCTACTTTATTGGGTCACATGGGGTTACAACATTCCGTCGTTCCTGTTTTGTTGGGTCAAATGGGGTTATATCATTCCGCCGTTCCTCTTTTGTTGGGTCATGGGGTTATACCATTCCGACGTTCCTGTGTTATTGGGTTGTACCATCCCGCCGTTCCTCTTTTCTTGGGTCATGTGAGGTTATACCATTCCGCCGTTCCTCTTTTATTGGGTCACACCATTCCAGTTCCTGTGTTATACTATTCCGTTTACACATTTCGCAATCGCCGCCAGCCAGTACGTTACATACATACGTAAGATATAACAACGTTGCGTGGTTGGAGGCGCTACTGTTGATTTACCGATGAAATCTGATGTTTTGCAATCTGACTAGTTAAAAAGACGACAACGTCGGTCTACTTGCTCTTTTTCGTGACAGTTTTTGACGTTCTGTCGTCTGCTTTGTTTTAATCATAATCAACGTATATCAGAAAGTCATGAAAATGAGCAAGGAGACCTTATAGAACATTTACTATAGGTATACCTGTAAAAAGGAGACTGACGTTGTCTGCTTTTCTATTGGTGAGATTGCGGCGATACATCACGATATCACGGACATCATCAGTAAATTGACAATAGCGCGCTCCCATTTACGCAACTTTGTCACAACGTTGTCACGTCGTAACTGGCTGGTGATGATTTCGGAATACGCCCCATATGGTAATTGTTACCATATAGCGCTTTCTTCGACACTTTGAAGGGTTTAAATTGAACAAGGCATCCTTAGAGAATGTTATTTTTTTTTTAAGAATAAGGACTCCAAGGCGAGGGCGTCCTATATTTTGTTACCTTTATTAGGGACTGGCTGTAGTGCCTGTAATCTGTAATTCTTTATCTTACGATTAGAAAAATCTTACACTATACGTACTTAGCAGTTCCATTTGTCTAATAAATTGTGTTACCCAATCAGAAGTATCAGAACGCTGGGGGTTTTTTGACACTCTCTCTCTCTCAATAGGTTTGTTTAATCAGCAGAAAGTTGATCTGTTTCAGTTCCGACTGCATACTTTTTGTATATTTGGGAGATAAGAGAGGTATTTAATCCTCAGAGGGCACTAAACGACTAAACTTAGTGCAGTCAATAGTAAAAACTCAGAGTTAATTTTTATCAATACTTTTACATGTTTTGTTACGAAAAGTATACATGAGAGATCATGCATTGCAAAACCGGAACCAACAACCAACCGTGGTTGGTCTTAAACAAACCTACAGTGGTGGCTGGTTGGTGGATCCACAACTCATGGATTGCTTCATGTAATCGCGGCTTTAGCCTGCGCTTTTGAATTAACTGTCAGTGGAGGTCTTCCCGCAATTTTTAGATATTTTTTTTTTTTTTTTAAGCAACTGTCATGAAACTCTGATGACAATAAACACATTGAAAGAATTTTTCTTTTAATGTTTGTGAGTGATAAATTGTATCTCTAGTTTAGCTTTATTATTCTTATTCTTTTGACTTTAAATTTCATTTTTTCTTTTTTATTAGGTTAAGTGAAGTTTCAAACAGTGTTTTTTCAATTATGGATAAAACAAACCAAACCGAAGATCACAAAATATTTTTAAGAAAACTCAGACAAAAAGGCAAAGCACTGACTGATTTTCGTGTGTCTGTTAATAAGTTACAAGATGTGGCTTCTTCAAAAGGATTGGATGAAGATACTCTCAAATTGCTGTTGGATGTGTTGAAACGTGCAGACTTGAGCGTACAAAATTGTGTCATTTTGATTAAGTGTATGATACCAAGAGAAAAATTGAGTGATATTTTAGCCAGACAAATCATAACATGGTTCTTAACGCTTTCTGTCTCCGTGACAGCTCTAAATACATTACTGCAATGGTTCATTGGTTGTTTGGAATACCAGTTGATCAACAAAAATTCCTTGTATATATTTTATGATCCATTCTTTTTCATCATGATTAAAGAAGTAAAATTACAGTCTCGGTTAGCTCAATTAATTTATTTATTAACAAAACCAGAAGATGTTACTAGAAGACAAGTATCTAGATTGTTAAAGATTAAGGAAATTAATGGAAGGCCGCAAAAGCATTTAATAGCATTGTTACTCTTATTTAAATCATACAAACCAGAGTTTGTACCAGAAGAAGTCCCAGCTATCAATGTACAAAGTATATGGGCAGCAATACCGGAAATTTTAAGACTTGGCTTTGAAGATGCAAGGGACCGTACAACTTTGCAGCAAAGTCATACAACGGATGAATTCAATTGTAAGTGGACGATATTTCCTATTGGCCGGACAAAGAAAAATCAGGAGCCTCTTATTCCATCCATTGGATATTTCAATATTGGCTCTAGCATATTCAATGAAAAAACAGAAAGGTCAATTTTTGATGTGTCTAGTTACATCCAACTCGGGCAGTATCATTTTGACATAAAATTGCCATCCAAAGCAACATCATTGTTGTCAAACTCGATTGGCTATCACCTTTTAACCTACGCAGATGTTGGATATCAACAAAGGTTTATGTATAATTTGTACTACACATTGTGGAAATCATTTATATATGAAAATGGTGGTCACTCTAATGAAGAAATGAATAAAATCTTAGACATGACCATAGAGTTTTCAAAATATATGCAACACGGTATTTCAATAGTCAATTATTTTATAAATGAATATTTATCCTGTTACATGGATGAACATCACGTCAAGTTGTTGCCCTTAATGCAGTGGAGTACAGTTTTAACAACAGAATTACAAGATTATGTGTTAAAGCATATGAAATTGATGTTCCACTCTTCATCCTTGAGCGACAAAATTAAAATAATGAAGACAGTTAAACTACTATTGGTGAATTTGTTTGTTGCAAATAACGATCTTTTCAAAGATAAATATTTTCCTTTTTTAGGACAAAGTTTTGATGGTAAGCTGATAGAAAATATGCAAATCATTTGTAAATTTTCCAAAGAATTAATCATGTCTGCTATCAATATTCACCATTACGATTTGAGTTTGCTTTCCGAAGCACTATCCTTTTATGAACAAGTTCACTTACTAGAAGTTTATAATGGTATGAATATTACTTTGGCCCCCTCAGCTGTCATATATGGCTGTTTTGTAACTAAAAGCTGTGCCTTATTATCAAGAGTATGCTCTCTGCTACTGCAATATAGAAAATGTTTTAAAGAAAACAAAAATCGTGCCTCTGCGAGAAATATTAAATCGCTCATTATATATGCGGAAGATCTTGTAAGTGCCTTGTGGTATGACAAATGTTTCAGCGACAGATCTGCAAATAACCGATACTTTTTGAAACTTTTGTCCGATGATGCGATAGACAGTTGTCAACTGACTGACATCGATAGCTTGTTAAATATAAAACATCATTATGCTGTTCTTCCATATGTGTATACATTAAATACCAGTGGGTTGCTCATTAAATCCAAAAAAGATGCAAACAGTGTGGCAGCTCAATATTATGGTCACATAAGTCAATTCATAACTGCTCTTTTAGGAAACTAGAATTAAATGAATGTTGTAATATAAATCAGATTTCTATAGAAAGTGTTGCTATGAAACTGAATCAGAGCATTGATTCACGATTTGATTAGAAAGAACATTAAATTAAATTACATCTGTGAAATAAATATAAATAAGAATAATTAATTTTTCAATGTGTTTCAAATAAAATACTAGTGTATTTTAAATGTAAATCAAAAAA